CCCTTAGTAGCTTAGGAACAAATACCAACATTTTAAAATGTTCTTTTACCTCTTTTGATGCAACTGTGATTAATCAAACACCCATTGTCAAATTCCTGGTTCCCTAGGGTTCAGTGGTGGGAGGCATGGAAAGAAGTGGGTGGGGGGGGGGGGGTTGCAATTGCCTGGCTATCTGTTAGTACCACAAATGTTTTGGGAAATATATGGATTAGACAGGTAGCAATAACACAAAGTTCCTATCTCAGTGGACAGAGTTTATAGCATATTGCTCTCTTTATCAAGGAAGGAAGGAAGAAGCTCACCCCAAAAATGTTGGGGCTCACTTTATTTGATCATGTCTGAGAAAATTAATTGACATGGGAGTAGTTTCTCTTCAGGTAACGAGGCTTCTGAAAGGAGAGCATTTGTTGTAGTCGACTGGGTGCAATCCAGGTACATGGTACAGTTGAGTTAGCTTTATATTTGTGGAATTTAAGAAATGAGAGTGGGGAAAGGGGGACAGCTCTCACAAATGCAGAATCGCCTTTACAAAGTAAGATGTGGGGGAAGGTCTCATTTTCAAACTTGAGAGTCTGCAAACAGGAGGACTCTAGCTCACTAATGGAGCACCACTGAGATACAGAAAGGCTTCGTTTGAATCCCTGGGATTTCCTGGTAAAGATGGGAATGATTCCTATGTAAAATGCTGGAGAGCCACTGCCAGGCAGTTTCCTATGTTCCTATAAACAGACTTCTTCCAAACTCTGGATTGTCCCTAATTTTTGAATTGTAAATCGGTTCCTTATTCAGGGGGAGAGACACTTGCTACCATGAGGCAGTTGCTTACAAGATTAAGTAGAAACCCAAATGAGACAGTTACTTACAGGATTAAGCAGAAACCAAAATGATCAAGAGGGTAGAACAACTCCTGTATGAGAAAAGTTTACAATATTTGGGGCAAGGAAAAGAGGAGACATAACAGAGTTTTATAAAATCATTTCTCTGTCTCTCATAACACTAAAACTGGGAGACAACAGTGAAGCTTAATGTTGGAAGGTTCAGGACAGAAAAAAGAAAGTATTTCTTCACACAGCACATAGTTAACTATGGAATTTGTTCCCACAAGAGTGATGGCCACCAACACGGCCACCAACAATTCATGGACCACTAACAAATTAGTGACCACTAATGATGATGGCTCCACTCTGTCTCTGGTTGGAGGCAGTGTGCTTCTGAATACCAGTTGCTGGGGAGGGGAGAGTGCTTTTGTGCTCAGATCCTGCTTGGAGGCATCTTCCCAGACATCTGGATGGCCTCTGTGATAACAGGATGCTGGACAAGATGGGTCATTAGCGTGATCCAGCAGTCTCTTCTTATGTAGTATGGTGGCCCAAGTGTCTGTGATCTTGTCAGTGCTCCCCCTGTCCATGCAGTGATGCTGCTGTGACAAAAACAAGTTTTGTACATGTTTCCAGCTTCTCAAGTGAAAGGGAATGTGTAATTGAGGAGCAGGCATAAAGAAAATAGCCCTGGGGTGGTTGGACTCAAACCCAAATCATGGATGATGTGGTCAAGGATCTGTTCTTTTTAACACACACACACACACACACACCCCTTTATTGTTCAGTTATAGCTTAGAGTTGATTATATCAGTTAAGGGTGTGTTCTTGATCAACCATCAAGATGGTTTTTTTAGGAGTGATATCTACACATAAAGGAGAGTTATGTATTTAAATATTCTCCACAGAAGATACAATAATAACAACTAGTAATTGTGCCATTGTGCAGACTAGGAGATCTGAAAGAGTGCTAGATGTATTTATTCATTTAATGGGTCTTCATGTGAACTAAGTACTTATCCACATCTATATTTTAAAAGCCTTTAACAGACTTTTAGCTATTCATAATGTTTCATCTCTTTTGGGGTACAAACAGAGCTCTTTAAAAAGGTTCGTGTGTGGAACATGGTAGGAAAGGGCAAACCTGCCCCAGTTTATTTTCTGATCCAGGCACACAACACCTGAAGATCACAATGAAACAAAAGCCTTCAGCTAGTTCCAAGCCTTCCCAGGTTATGGTTCCCCCTTACTGAGTTCTGGTGAGGACTCTGAGCATTGGAGGGGATTGCTCTCAGCTAGTGGGTGAGTAGAGGGTGGTGGTGGTGGGGTGATTTCCTGGCACCTGAGTGTTTTCTGGCAGTTGTGCCTCCCTTTTGTATTCGTTTGATTATTGCTGTATATTGTCAGACATTCTGCTGGATGTCCTTATATCTGGTGTCTTGTTTATGAACAAATAGCACAAAAAAATGACTGCATTGGATAAAGAAATCCATCTTCTCTAATAAGGTGTTTGAAGATGATAATGCTCCTTTAAATAAACTGGATATCATTGAGAATGTGTAGCATGCCATTTAGTACGCAAATTCAGGCGATGCATTTTAATAATAGATCATGGGGGGGAGAGGGGAAGGAAGCGCAAGCTACTGAAGCTTGCAAAAAGCAGGCCCCCAAAGCTTTCATGTTTTATTGGAGCATATGTTTTGGAAGTGGCAGCATTGACAGTGATGGCGCAGATCTTCTTTTTATCTTGTTTTGATTCAAAGGATATTTGAATTTTATTTTTGGCAAACTTTTTATCTAGCCCCAAAGGGGTTCCTCGGCTGCCGTGACAGAGGAATAGCCATAATAAACACATTATGTGATACTTGTAAATTTCACAATCTTGCTATTGCTTCACTCGCACACCAGGGGAGTGAAAATCTTCCCAAAGAAATCAAATAAGCCTGTAGTCAAATACCTGGCAGGTGTAAATATGAAACGAAGTCGTACAAATGTTGTTGTTATTTTCCAAAATCCAAACTGCATGAGCTATTTCAAATAAAGGAGAAACAAATCTTGAGCTCATAACTTCTTGTCTCCAGGGATAAAGTGTGAAATGGATTCTACTTATTTATGAACAGTTGCATTTTATTCTTATTCTAGGCACTCTCATAGCAGTTCTTTTAAACTCTATTAACCCAGCAGGAGCTGTTTTAGTTGTGCATACTTTAAATATTTTTTATTCAACTTGATTTAAACCGAACACATCTTTCGTATAAGGGTGTCGAGTCATGTGTGCAAACCAAATTAATTTTGTTCTCATGACAAAATTTCATTAAACATTCACATCCTGATTCCTTGGGCTTTTACTGACTTTTGTGATAATTTAGTAGTAGCATTTTCATCTATATCCTGTTTTAACTCCAAGGAGCCCAAGACAGCATGTGTGACACACTCCTTTTTATCCTCACAACATTCCTGTGAGATATGGACTGGCTAGGGTTGCCACCTTTGGTTGAACAAAATACAGGACAGGACAGGCAAAATAAAAGACGGGGTGGGGTGGGAGGCCAGGAGACCCCCCACCGCGCTGGGTGCCATGCCCCTGCGGGAGGTCACCACGCCCCCAGGATGCAGGCCACCCCCCCGCGGGCGGCGCGCCACACCCCTGGGATTCACATCATGCCCTCGCAGGCAATATGCCACGCCCCCTGGGATGTGCACCAGCCATGTCCCTGCTGCTCTCCGCCCCCGGTGCCAGAGTGTGCAGCTTTGCCACTGACCCTCACCCCTCCCACTCAAACCATGTGGTGGAGGTGACTCCACTTCCTCTCCTACCCCCCATCCGATCTCCTTAGCTGCTTCTTCCCTCATCCCCGCTCCTGATCTCTAATTTCAGATATAGTGATATATCAGAATATTGCGGTGTTTAACTGCTGATATATCATAATGTTGAAAACCAGATATCACTCAGCCCTACTCTGTTTTTTAGTATACTTAAAATCCTTTGCTTATTAGGGGCTACACTACATTTTGTTCAAAAAATTGCTTTGCAGAGGTAACTAGGATAGAGTTATCAAAATTTTCATAAGCAGGCTGCCCATGACTTGGCTTTTGGAAAATTGGGGGTCCTCACTAATTAGCTAATTGGGAACCACTGCACTAAGACATAGAAGAAGTCTCTATGTCCTTGGGGAGAGTATCAGAAAACCCAAAAAATAATTTGACTTTGTTCATACTTCTGGGTAAATAGTTCAAGCAAAGCTATCTGCAAACAGCAGGGGGGGGATTCATCCTGTATCTAATCATAGCACATGACAATTTTATATGTAGATTTTTCATTATGCACAGAATTTCTGGAAAGCTACAACTGGCTGTGGCTTTCCAGTGTCACAGTCTTCAGATGGGATCCATGTTTACTCCTTCACCAAACTGTCTAACACATTGGAACTATGTAGCAAGTGGATTGGTCATCGTTCTTAACATTAGTATGCTAAAATCTAGTAGTATTATGGGTTTGTAGCTTTTCTCATTAGTTACTGCCTCTGAGTAAAAACTCCATACCTGTATTCCAAAAACTTCCCACTGATCTGATCCAGATCCTTTAAACATTTAGTTCCCTTGAAACGTTGTAGTTTCAAAGCAGAGACATCACCTTGCCAGCAAAGGTCCGTATAGTTAAAGCCATGGTTTTCCCAGTAGTGATGTATGGAAGTGAGAGCTGGACCATCAAGAAGGCTGATCACCGAAGAATTGATGCTTTTGAATTATGGTTGCTGGAGGAGACTCTTGAGAGTCCCATGGACTGCAAGAGGATCAAACCTCTCCATTCTGAAGGAAATCAGCCCTGAGTGCTCACTGGAAGGACAGATCGTGAAGTTGAGGCTCCAATACTTTGGCCACCTCATGAGAAGAGAAGACTCCCTGGAAAAGACCCTGATGTTGGGAAAGATGGAGGGCACAAAGAGAAGGGGACGACAGAGGACGAGATAGTTGGACAGTGTTCTCGAAGCTACAAACATGAGCCTGACCAAACTGCGGGAAGCAGTAGAAGACAGGAGTGCCTGGCGTGCTCTGGTCCATGGGGTCACGAAGAGTCGGACACCACTAAATGACTAAACAAACAAACAAAACACTATGAAACAAATGGGCTCAACAAATAGCCATCACCACAGCAATTATTTTCAATTTTGTTTACTTTTTGACTTAATCTACATATAAACTGTACCTTTGTGCAAAACTTAAAAAGAAGTAATATCTCTTGAGCTTTCATATTTCAGTGGAGGTAGTTTCTGAGACAGCAAAAGTAGTAATTTTGAGGATTTTGCCTCAAATGAAGGAAATGATCACCTTATATATGCCCCTCATCCTCCTTAGTAGTAGAAGGGAATGTGGTGCTTGACAGACCCCATTTTCCCTTCTTCTGATGCTCCTCACAGGTCATGCCCAGGTTCAGTTGTTCCCTTTCCTGCTGCTCCTCATACGGTATGGATGTTGTCTTCTGGATATGCCATGTCTCCAGTTGCTCCCCTTCTGTGTTGCATCCTGCCTGTGGGAGCATAGGAAGTGGTTGTGCTTCTTGTTCCTGCGCTATTGCATTGTCTTTGGAGGAAGCAAGCATATGCACCTTGCTCTCATCATCCTCAGCTTCTTGCTCTTCATTCAGGGAGGGTATTTCAAGAATGCCAGTGTATAGGTTGTCCTTTCTTACACACAGTTCTTCAGAGGTTCCACTCAGAGGCAAAGAGCTCAGCTTTGCAAGTCCTAGAGGCCGTTGCACTTCTAAGTAAAGAGTACCCTGATGGTCCTGGTCCTCCTTGTCATAGGTGCCCTCAGACCCAGAATCTCCACAGTCCAATTTTCTTTGCTGTTCTTTCTCATAGCTTAGGTTGTCAGGAAGTGTAGTTGTATGTTCTGATGCACTGAGCTTTTGCTTCTCCTGTTCTTCAGTATAGGCAGTGCCCTTACATCCGGAATGTGCATAATCTAGACCTTCTTGCATTTCCTTTTCATCATGGTGTGTGCTAATTTGTTCCAGTAAAAGAAGCTGCTGTGCATCTGAGTGTTTTTGCTTTGCAACATGAGTAACAACATCCTGAGGCAAACTGTTTATATATGCTAGTTGTTGCAGATCCATTGTGCAAGCTACACCCAGGGGCAATGTAGTTATGTTTTCTTTTGCAACAGCTTGTAGATCCTTCTGGTGGGGAACATACTGATGATCTTCTGACATGCTGAGAAAGCTCTCTAATGTTGAGCTTCTGAAAGCTTGTGTGTCTTCCTGTACCTTCTCACAGGTTGTGTCCTCCAATGGAAAGCTCATAGCTTTGGGTAAAATAGGCAGTTGGTCTTCTTGGTCAAACAAGTTTATCTCATTGGAGGAGGTTTCTCTTACAAAATCTAAAAGCTGTTGTACTTCTGGCTGTTCTTGTTCATCATTTCCACACATGGTAGACAAAATATCTGGGTATTTTTGTTCCACAGGCTGCTGTACCTCCTGGTTTGTGTTATCTTTGTAAGCCTGCTCCTCCTTGTGAACATCTCCTTTAGATACAGGATTTATTTGACTCCAGAACACTGGTTTCTCCATGTTATGGGTGATACCCATACCATGTTGTTGTTGCCTCCCAACCTGCTGTTCCTCATTGCATGGTACAGCTGGTTGGTCGAACAGTTCCTGCAAAGAAGTTGCGCCCTTGGAATCAATACTTGTGTTTTGTTCCTCTTGATCTTTGTTTTCACTGGCAGTCGATGTACTGTTTGGTTCTAGTTCTCTAGCCTGCTGCAGCTCCTGAAATGGCACATCTTGGTGACTCCGCTTCTGGTCCTTCTTACAGGGCAAACCTTCCAATATAATCCCTGTATGACCTCTTCCTTTTTGTTGTTCCTTTTCATCGGTTACTTCTTGGAGCACTGCACTCAGCAATTCAGATTTTCTATGTTGTCTGCTTTCTTCAGCTGCCATAATTAGATACTCCTTCCCTTCTTCAGAGGGATCACCCTCTAATTTTGCACCCACTACCTTTTTCTTTACCTTTTCCAAAGATAATACACTCATATTATCTGATCCCTCCTTTTGTTGTGGCGTTTGGAAAGTATTTGCACTTGTTTTTTCATCACATTCTCCTTGCTTTTCTTCCAAAAATATATCACTTAAAGGCATAGGTATATGGGGATCTTGAATTTTTCTGTCATAGGGCTGGGTACATACTGCCAAAGCTGGCTTGATAGCCTCTTTTTGTACACCCACGTCACCTGCAGGTGTCATCTTCCAATAGTCTTGGCCCATGTTCTGCTGTCTTTGCTCAAACATGGTGACATCACAGGATAGATCTTCAGGATAATTCTTTTTCTCGTTTTTCTTTTTTCTGTCCTTGGGTCTCCTCCCTGGTAAGTACAACCGCCTGTCAACATACAAGATATGAATAGGGACTGAAATGAGGATCTCTTCTCAGCCCTGTATCCTAATATCATAACAGCCTAGCAGTGACCTCAACCAGTGTGCCTAATTATAAATTTGTAAGAATTTGTAAGTGCTTAACAAAGACCAGAGCTTTCCAAACTGGGTGTCAGAACACGTTAAGATGTTGGCTGCAGTGTGTAGGTCTATTGTGTGAACACTCCCCGCACTCCTTCTGGGACTGGAAAGGGGTTAGTTTAACCTCTGGTTTGCTAGTAAAACTGAATTAGTGTGTCGCGAAATGATGCATGTCACCAACATGGGAAGTTTGGAAAGCTCTGTTATAGACTGTTACATTCATGCATAGGTGCTTATTCCCTGGGGCCCAGGGTGCCCGAGCACCCACAAAATTCCCCATGAGGGGGCTGGGCACCCACAGATTTCGGGGCAAGGACCATTCACACTGCATGGCACCCACAGCCCCAGACACCCATGGTTGCGGGGCCAAGCTGACACTCCTGAATTCATGGCTCTCTAAACATTTCTTGGTTCTGTTATCTGGGAAATGCCATCTCTAAACTTTGTCTTCCAACAAATCAGCCGCTGTGTGGAAAAAAACAACCATTCATACCTTCTAGGGATGCAGCAACACAAGGCTGAGGCTTGGAAACACCTAGAAGTGTGCTCTTCTCCAGCAGCATTTGCATCTTCTTCTATAGCATCTGCACAACTTACAACCCTCTCTTCACTCATTCCCCAAAATAAAGAGTAGAAAAATAAAAGTCTTAGAAAGGAAGGACACTGACTCTTAGCCAGTGCTTGGCTTCTGTGCTCTTAAAAAATGGATTTTGTTGACCACATTTGGCCACATTTACCAGCTAGTGTGGCTTGTATGGCAATAGCAAACTGAATCCTTTATAGGAACATCTTTATGACATCACCAGTTCTAGAAGGCTGTTGGGTAACCATAGCAGCATGGCTATGGCTCCCAGAAATTGAACATTTGTGCTATGATATGACACTCATTTGCTTATTTGATACATCATTACTTTAGCTTTTTGAATGCATAACCTTGATATTTTCATGAATTTCCTCCGTGAATCTGTCTAATCTTTTAAAGCCAATGATGGTGGGCATCATTACCTCTTCTAAGAGCAAATTCCACAGTTTTACTATGCACTTTGAAAAGACGTACTCCCTTTTGCCTGACCTGAATCCTCCAGCATTTTGCTTCCTTGGATAACCCTGGGCACTAGTGTTTCTAAACATCGTGCATAACTTTGTACAACTCTGTCATTGCCCCTCCCAACAACTCACCTTGAAAAAATAATAATAGAAAGCTCCAAATGTAACATTTCTTCTAGGGGAGTTGTTCATTGGCTGAGCTGTGGCAATTAGAACTAAGCAATATTCCAAGTTATCATAGATTTCTATAATGGCATTATGATATTGGATTTTTTTTTAATAATCTCACAATTATTTATATCTTGCCTTTCAGGATATAAACCTTCCATTGTGGATTGTCATTAAATTACAACTTTTTAAAACATTTTTCTGAAATATGAAAATGTTATCAGAATCCTTTCCTTTGGCTATTTAAACAGTCTATGGCCTTTTAAACTGTTGGAGATGGGAGTAGTTATTTTTGTTAGTTACTATGTTATGTATTTTTGTTGGTTTTTTATATTGTAAACCGTCCTGTGATCCTCAGTTGATAGAAATTGAATAAATAAATAGAGTAAAATTTCCCCAGAACATTTGCTGATAGATTATCCTGTAGTGGGCGACATACATGCGTCCATCCTCAGCAGGCCCTGGGGTGGTCTTTGCCTGTTTCACTGTCTCTCTTTTCCACAAAGCAGGGCTGGCTAACTTGTGGCCCTACTGATGTTGTTGGACTCCTGATGTTGTTGGTGTTTTAGGTGTCTTCATCATGGGCAGATGGGGCTTGTCTCCCTGGGAAGGTAGCTCATCTAAGAGAAGGAAAACTCTGATCCTAAACCTTCGTTGCCTTGCAGAATATCTTCGGGAGTAAAAAGGGCTAAGGAGTAAACCGTACACAAATTTGGAGTGTAGTCCCTAAGATGTTTGGGTGGTACTTTGTATGCCTCCTTCTGGCAACTGCTGCAACCAAACTGGTGCCAAATGTATTGCTCTGCTTTCCTTTGGTCCACATGAGTGAGGGCAAGAAGGGGGGCATCTTGTTGTCTGAGCAGCTTAGGAGCTACATGCACACTGCCCAGGCTTGTCCCCCAGGGTGGTGGTCACTTTGGTGACGCAGGTGGCGCTGTGGGTTAAACCACAGAGCCTAGGGCTTGCCGATCAGAAGGTCGGCCGTTTGAATCCCCGCGACGGGGTGAGCTCCCGTTGCTCAGTCCCTGCTCCTGCCAACCTAGCAGTTCGAAAGCACCTCAAAGTACAAGTAGATAAATAGGTACCACTCCGGCGGGAAGGTAAACGGCGTGTCCGTGTGCTGCTCTGGTTCGCCAGAAGCGACTTACTCATGCTGGCCACATGACCCAGAAGCTGTGCTCCAGCTCCCTCAGCCAATAAAGCGAGATGAGCGCCGCAACCCCAGAGTCGGTCATGACTGGACCTAATGGACATGGGTCCCTTTTACCTTTACCTTTAATGCAGCTGTTGAACTTCACTCCCAGAGGCTTACTCCATTGTCTCTCAAAACAGACCGATGCCAACTACAACAAATAAAACTATTATGGACGGACTACATTCATGATATTGTAGAACCACCCTGGGCTCCTTTAGGAGGAAAACTAGGGCAGAAATAAAATAAATAAATGATAATCATCATTTTATGTTAAATAATAGTTAAGGACTGTACAAACCTTGATTTAACTTTTATTGTATTTTCATAGTAAACAAATAACAAGAACCAAAGGTTGATGAGACTTTCTATCATAAACAGAATCATAAACCTTCTAGATTCTTGTGCTTTTTATACACTGCTGCAGAAGAGGAATATATTTCTCATTCCAGAACCATTTATTTAATCTGTTGCCTTAACATGTTCCATTTTCCACTCAGAATCCAAAGAAGAAAAATTATAGACGTGCTTATAGTTTGTCCTCAGTCTGAAGGAGATGTATGACTTGTATTAAACCTCAGCCATTGTGTAGTTGTCCTTGCTCACATATTTAATTAATGAAATTTGAAATTTCTAAGTGATTTGTTCTGCTGAAAATTGTAAAGGGATAAAACTTCAAAACCCACTTTACTACTTGATCAGTCTTCAGCTATTAATGCAGGAGAAACGCTTTTCAGAGAAAATTGCTCCACTAGATTCTGGATGTACATTCAGAATGAAATACAATTACAGCTGTTCAGCCACATTTCTTAGATGTGCAAGCACATAAATGGAAGCTCAGTTATGCTGGACTGTCCATCAGCTGGGTCCATTCCTCCTAGATATTGCTTGATATTGTTTGATGCTTTAAGAAGCTTGAAATACCATCTTGTATGCGTTGTATACACTGGGAATCTGTCAGTTTATCAAAATATGTATTTTAAGAATCATATCAAAATGTGCATTTTGATGTACCGTGTCCACAGGCAAATCGGTTAAAATGTCCATTGTAACATAGGTTCAGAGCTGGCCCGCCTATGAGGCGGACTGGAGCACCCACCTCAGGCAGCAGAATCGCCACCACTAGTTTCTCGTGGTGGCAGCTTCCAGTGCACAATCCCAGTAAGTGAGGCTTTGGCCAAGGGAGGGCAGGGATGGCACCTTCCCATTTCTCCCAGGGCAGTAAAATAAGAAAGCCAGAAGCCGATGTGGAAATATGGAGAACTGAATTTAAGATGGGGGGGGGGGGCTGAGAGAAACCAAACTGACGGAATCGCTCATCCCTACTTATCCCAATCTTGGCACTGCTATTAGTACAGTTTTGGAAGTGTCTGGAGGACTATCTGACCCTGTTGTTTGAGATCAATTTGAGTTAATGCAGTGGCAGGATGTGAACTTGGTGCCTGAAGTGGTGCAGCTTACCCTCTCGACCATTGCCTGTCATAGTGTCAGGGAACTGACATCGGAGCTAGAGGTGGAGGGAAGGCTCTCTAATGATGCTGGAGAAGGGCCCAGCAGGGAGAGAGGCAGCTCAGCAGATGGGGAAGCAATTCAGTGCAACACCAGGAATAAGGAGGGGCAGATGGGGGAATCGGCGAGAGGGCTCCCAGACTCTTCACCGGACACTAGCGGGGAGAGCACTGGTCCTCCGCTACCCACGCCCTCCCTGCGCAGAAGACTTCCGCGCAGAGAAAGTAGGAGGAGACTGGGTGTCAAACAACTTTTATGTTGGAAAAGGTTTAAGAAACGCCCACTGACGGATTCTGCTAGCGACTGAGGCAGCCACGAATTGAAGGGCTGTCCAGACAGAAAGGTTTAACAAGGCAACATAGCCAGGAGAAGCGGCAACTTACGCACGAGCAACCCCATACCATTATACATAGCTTATTAGAGCTTGTCAGAGGGGATTGGTCAGGTCCGTCCTGCAGCCCTGAAAGGGGTTTTGCTGCACCCCCGCCTGTACCCTGAGTTTTTAAATAACCATGATCCAACTGACAAGGTCCATTTTTGGACCAAGGTTCTTGAGGGAGTGGGTGGTCATCCAACTCCAGACATTCTTCGATGAAGCAGGTTATACTGCCACATTTTCAGTCTGGCTTCAGACCCATTTTTGGCACAGATAACATTTTGGTCACGCTGGTTGATGACTGGCTTCAAGAGAGAGATTCAGGGGTGGAGTGTGAACTTACTGATTCTTCTGAGTGCGTCAGCAGCTGCTGATTCCATTGTCCATTGACTCCTGGAACAATTTTGGGGGTTGGGGCAAGGGCCACAATAATACAGTGATTCCGTTCTTATGTGCAGAGTCGTTTCTAGACAGTAGCATTGAGTGACCCCGTGGCAATTGAGCTTTAAGGCTCTATCCTGTCCCAAATGTTATTTACCATATATATGTACAATAGTTGCTTGGTATGGTCATCAAGGGATTTGGTGCTCATTCCTCATGACTCCTAGCTGCAGCTAGGGGTGTTTCATCTGATTTGTGTGTTTAGAATTTGTTTTATTATTTGTAAGGTCACATTTGCTTTATATGCTAAACATGGAGACCATTCAGAAGACCAATAGTGAAACATGTTTGGGTTCTGTGATACTTTGGAAGTTTTTGTGCACATTGTTGTGCATTGTACAATGTTGATACTTTGTTAGTTTTTGTGTTTGAATTGTTTTGCTTTGGGACTATGAGCCCATCAGCTCCTGCCTCCCCCCCAGCTCTCATCATTGTAATAATAATAATAATAATAATAATAATAATAATAATAATTTATTATTTATACCCCACCCATCTGGCTGAGTTTCCCCAGCCACTCTGGACGGCTTCCAATCAAGTGTTAAAAACAATACAGCATTAAATATTAAAAACTTCCCTAAACAGGGCTGCCTTCAGATGTCTTTTAAAAAGAAGATAGCTGCTTATTTCCTTCATATCTGAAAGGAGGGCATTCCACAGGGCGGGTGCCACTACCGAGAAGGCCCTCTATCTGGTTCCCTGTAACCTCACTTCTTGCAATGAGGAAACCACCAGAAGGCCCACAGTGCTGGATCTCAGTGGGAGTGGAGACACTCCTTCAGGTATACTGGACCAAGGCCGTTTAGGGCTTTAAAGGTCAGTGCCAACACTTTGAATAGTGCTCGGAAACGTACTGGGAGCCAATGCAGATCTCTCAGGACTGGTGTTATGTGGTCCCGGCGGCCATTCCCAGTCACCAGTCTAGCTGCCGCATTCTGGATTGTAGCACCTGCTCCTCCCACAATCCAACATGCTTGAGATGAGCCTTTTTATTTCTTATTTCCAACATCAGGTATGCTCATTCCCTCTGGAAATCTTTCATACCAGAGGCTTCAATGAAGATAGGTGAATCTGGACAATGGAACAAGGAACTGGCAAAAGTTGAGAGGCAAGCCAAGAAAATTTGTCCTGTGTATATACACCATAGATAAATGGGTAGTGAAAATAATTGTAGTAGCTTGAAAGGTATGAATGGTATTTGGAAACCAGGAGGAATACATCATGGTAGATTTCAGCTATGCAATTCCATACTAAGTCGTCATAACAAGTTGATCAGACTGCTGGGCTGAGGAAGTTTATAGATTATATAGCATCAGATTTTATAGTAAAGTTGTGTGGTATTGAAGTCCAGTGTCATGTGATAGCCTGCATTAAAAAGGCGACTTTCCACCCATTACCAAGATTTTCTTGATAGGCGATAAGGCCTGCAGTTTCCTCCTCCAGTATGTTGGAACGAGAGAACCAGCTTCCAACTTCAAAGACTAATGGTGCCTGACAGTATGGTTGAAGACCAGCAGACATCCAAGTGTGGTGGAGGTGGTTTGAACCCACATTCACATTAATTCTAATTAAATCAATTTAATATAAATGTGATTTTAATTTTTTAAAAGTGTTTTAATAAATTCTAGTATTTTAGGAAATTTTAGGATTCATATTTTCTTTTTCTTTTTATTGTAGTCTTCTCTTCCCTTAAAGGATCAAGAGTAACTCAAAAAATCAAACGTTCTCCATCTCTCAATACCTATAACTGTATAATACTTGATTTACTAGACCAAAGAACCCTTTCAACATGCACCTAAGTTTAAGCTGCAAGGAGATAGAGAGAGAGAATGTAGCATTGTTTTAAAATATTTACATATTTGCTCTATACAAATTCATTAATTAGACAAATATTTTATTTTTAAATTTTCCTAAGATGTAACTTTCATTACCATATAAATGCTGGACAAGGTGGATTAGCACTGTGTGATTTAATTGACAGAGCAGAGGCAGACGAGTATCTGGACTGAACACTACATATTTGGAATAGCCTAAGTGGACTTGTAAAGTTCAAAAATTCAAAAGCACTTCCAGCACAGAATAGTTAAGGGAAAACAGCAAAACTCCAAGGTCACTGGGAATGTTCTCAGGGTATTCTGACATGGCTTATCTTTCCTCACATGCCTACTTTTTCCCCCCTTTGCGAAGAATAGCTGCAGAGAATGGAAGCCATAGGCAGGCCTTGTGCCATCCCTTATTTGAGTTCTTTTATACTCCTCTTTTTAAAGAAGCTGTCAAGTTCTTTTCTGGTGCTGACAGGGAAGGCCAAATCTGCAATACTGGAAAAGAGGCAGAGAGAGAGAGAAAGAAACTTTTTGTGTTGATGTTTTACTAAGTGAGCTAAGGAGAATTTTAGAATCATGTAATTTACTCCGGAGGCATTTACTGTACATAGCCATAGTGATGGTAATTTCTTTCATTGTTGAAGTGAAAAGATAACCATCAATCAGTTGTCAATTGGTCAATTGCAGCAGTGATGAAAAGAAACTGGTAGGAACAATCACTTTCGGTGGCTACCTAGACTATTTGGGGTTTGGAGGAAAACATGGGAACTGGAGTTAGTAAAAATGGAATGAGACTCAGAGGGTGGTGGTATTAAAGGGTGGGGGAGTTTAAATGCAATATAAACAATAACATTCAGAGAGCTGTGGAAATTATTTGAAATACAGACAACTTTCTTTAAGTGAAAAATAGGGTTGTCCAGAGACATTCAACTTTAGTTGTGAACTGGAGGAATTATTTGGAAAATTGAAGAATCTGAATATAAATGCAATCACATGTTCCATAAGCTTGGCAAGAAGCCTAACTATTCTGCCATCAATCCTAAAAGAATATAGAGCTTGCTCTTGAGTGTTATGATTGATGTGTTAATAGACATGGCTACACTGGAAACAGAAATAACATTAAACCTGAAAATACAGAATGACCATACATGGGTCTCAGTATTACTGATAAAAACATTTTTTTAAAATACTTGACTTCATTAAGTCTACTTGACTTCTTTCATGGGAATAATGCTCTTTCTTGACTGTGTCTCAAATAACAGCTTTTTCTAGTGGTGTGAAAGCACAAAATGAGATGACATAAGAGCATTTGGTTACCTTTATTTATTTATATATTTATCTATCTATCTATCTATCTATTTATATTTCATAGACAAAAAAATATTCTAATTTAACCTTCCCTAGTTTGCTTTTCTTCTTTTTTAGGCACTGCAGTCTGACTGATCTGAGGGGGTTTTAATTTTTTTGTTATTGTATTTCATGTTATTTTGCTGTGGTAGGTTAAAAAAAGGATTACAGGCCCACCAGAAGGAAGAGATAGCATCACTTTGTAATCCAGCCCATGGTTTCCTAGATACCGTATTGTCTCTTCTGTTCCGCTATGTGAAAAATGTTGAATATCAACAATGGGTTTCAGTGCTGTATTGTTGAGTTTTGTATGAACTAATCTAGCTTCGCTAAAAGAGAGAGAGAGAGAAAAGAAAGGGGGGAGAGGAAAAAAAACTACAGCTTTGGACAAAAGTCTATAGCCAGAGCATTCGTAATTCCCCATGCACAAGAGCTGACTGTGTCTCTGGGAAGACATTTTACTCGTTTGCTTTCTTATTTCCTAGAGTTTTCTAGTCCTGCTTTCAGGTGTTTGCTACCTATTAAAATCTCACCTGCCCGGGGCACTGTACTTGAGAAAATTCTGCAACCTGTCAGATGGTGTAGGTCTCATAAAGACAGCTCTGTTCAGGGTTTGAAAGGTAAGCTTTTGCTTAACTCCTCTGCTGCCTTTGCTTATGGAATGCCAACTTCATTGGCCTAGCTGTGAAACTTTGCAACCGTCTCTCTGGTTTGTGAGCATGTATAGCAGCAGTTTCATTGCATCCAAAAAGACATCCGTATGAACGTGGGGATAGAGAATGGGGATGGAGGGGGTGTGACTGGAGTGAAATGTACCATTTTCTAATTATGGGTTGGGAAATGAGTGGCTAAAAACTGTATCACCTGCAAAGAGGTGCCTTGATAGCATAGGTAGGCACACATTTGTAGGTTGTCAAGTTAATAAAAAAGGACAGAGAAATCAGGTCTGGAATACGCTGTGTTTTCTAAAAGGGTTTTGTTGTTAAAAAGCTGAATGGTGCATTTGGTTTTTTCTCATTTGTAGGTTGTGAAGCTGTGAGCAGGGAGTTTGGTACATTGATGCCTCTGTGTGTGTGTGTGTGTGTGTGTGTGTGTGTGTGTGTTTCTATGCTGGAGGTGGTGTTTGAAGTTTAGTGGGTGGAGGGTAACAAATAAGATTTTGGGTCAGAGACATGCAGTTTATATCAAACCTATGGAGAAATGCTTGTTGCTTTATTTACCAAATGACATTCTTTACAAACCTAAAAAGAACAATAAGGTCATTTATCAGATCAGTAGCTAGTTAATTTAAGCCACATTACTGTCATTTGTACTATATATGGAGAATAAAGAATGAAATAAGAATAGTAACCAGTTAGAAGATAGCTAGCAAGAATAAGAAATTGCAAGTTATCTGCCTTTTATTTGCGTGTGTGGGGGGGTTGATAGGAAACCATTTATTTGCAGAATCCACAAGGATTGTGTCAAGTTCAAATAAAAGAAATGTCTATACTAGCAAATGCTTGCTACTGTTCAAGCTTAAGACATATTTAGAGTTTTGTAACTTTAGAACTGCAAATGTGCATGGGAGGTCAGTTATGGCTATTTGCAATTGTGGGCAAAACATAACAACAACATCCTCATCATCATAGTTTCATGCTGGCAGCTTGCAAGCATTCCTGCTTGTAATGAAAGCTTGTTGTTGTTGTTTGCAGAGGGCATACTGCAGGTCTGTAAGATCCTATTCTTGTCCTATCCAGTCTTGTTCTTTCACCCCTTTACCCCAGGAATTAGAGGAGAGGGCAAATGATGCTTTCTTAACCCCTGTATTTAGTGGCAAGCAATGATGCGCTCCCTGTGAAACCATTTCTGACCCTCTGCTTGGAGTGGTGAGTTTGAGTTTTTCCCCTTCCTTGCCCATCATTGTCAGTCAATTATAGGATGGAACTGAACCAGAAAATCTGGTACAGTCTGGCAATTAGTACAAAGGGTTTCCAGTCTAGTGTAAAGAGAGAGATGCAAGAGCCCCAGCAGCTAGAGAAATAGTTTTGATTGGCCACGGACATTGCCTTTTAGTGCTGCTTGGTTACTTCCTAAAGATACTGCCTCCTACCCTACAGGTCTTCTCCTTAAAGTACTACATTATGGGCCTACTTTTAAGATGTCTTTTTTTGGTGGGCTTTCTTCCCCCCTTTCTTAGCTATTCCATCTCCCATTTTCAGACTGTCATTTTAACCCATCAAATAGACACATTTTGACTTGCACAACAAAGAGCCAAGTTATCAACATTCACAGAAACTGACATTTTTAATTCAGGCTTCATTATGTCTTTGATTCATGACAGTGAACTACAAAGACATTTAAAGTTTTCCTCCCTTTATTTTTCTTTCTTTTAAATTCAGCATTTGGGATGTTTGTCTTTTTCCTAGCACTCATATTTCCCTTTCTACCTTTCCCTTGCCGTAATATATAATTAGCACTATCAAAACCATCAGCTATTATCCACTGTGACTTTTGACCTTTGTTTTGATCTTTCCAGCAGCCACCCACCCCCACCCGCTAAAAAATCTCACAGTAAATTTTAACTGGCTATTTTAATTTACAGAAAAGGCAATGTAATTTACATCACCAATATTTGTGTCTCAGCATGTTTATTGTGAACATGTAAATCAGAATCATGGGTTGTAGCTAACTATGGTCCACTCAGAGATGACCCATTGAAATCAAAGAACCTAAGTTAGTCATGTTAATTAACTTCGGTGAATCTTCTCTGATACATTGGATACAACCCTATGAATTGTTGAGTAAAAATATAAATAGCATAATAATCCTGTAAATAATATATGTTTAAAATATTTGGAAGTGTAATAGGTGCATACTATAGAAATATAGTTTCAGATAAAGCTGTAGCCTTCATCTTAAAAAAAAAGTGCAATGCATTATTTTGACAAGCATTAAAGAAAGACTCCTATTTATTTACAAGTTATTGATGAATGAAATGTTCAGACTGATATACTGAAATTGTCCCAGAACATGGCTTGGAATGAGCAATGTGGGAAAATACTGAAAACAATATATAACATAATTGAAATAGATTTTGGGATTATATAATCACACATTCCTTGGACATCCAACTTCTTAGAAAAGTTATTGGGCATGCTTCTGTATCATGGTTTTGTTCACTTAGCAAGGGTTTTTGTGCATACATGAGCAATAAGTTCTATTTATTGCATATGGTAACTGTTCTTGTGAAAGTTGAACATTGTGGAATTCCTAAAAAATGAAATGTTTCATAGAATATTTAGAACATGTGTGTGCATGTGGGTGGGCACCTCTTTTTTTCATTCACTTTTTAAAAAATTGCTCATTTTTGCATATCTGCTCTGTTGGGATCCTTGAAAAGTGCTTCAGACACATGGTAACAAAATATTCGATTCAGTGGTTAGCTGCTTTTGCTTTGTCAGTGTCTATGAACCTAATGATAGGATGACAATAATGGTGATGATGAGATTAAAGTGCTGCCCACTTCAATTGATGCTCCTTGTTTCTGTAATTAGAATTATAGGCCTGGAGGACTGGAACATCCCTGAAGGGCATCTACTCCATCTCTGGTATAATCGGGATAATTTATACCAGAATATTTCAAACCGGATGAGGCTATATTTTAGGGCAGCACAGTCAACAATAATCCAGATTTTTGTATGCCTCTAGAAGGACCAAAGTGTTGTGCCAGACATGCCTGTTAAGAAATGAACCAATATCATTATGAAAAATAGCTACCATTCAGTTTATTTCTTATGCAAAAAAAACTTCTGATTTGTACCTCACTCAAATGTGATTAGTTACCAGCAGTTTTGTGTGCCCTCTGGTTTTGATGCCTGAAAAGGGGCGTGCTCACAATAATTGCCTCTGATTCTTATAAATGATGATCAACCTGGGTATTTGGAGTAGAGCTGATCTGCTACCAAATGCATCCACTGGTGGCAGTTAGTCCATCTAATGGAAGCTAGTAGTGAGTAAATCCAACTACTATGCAGTCAGGGGTCAATAGCTGAAGTGTGTATTGAAATTAATTGGATAGCAATGCTAGCTTCATGAAGTATCCTTTGACAAGGAAAACGTTGGCTACCATACATAAACCTGCATTCCCCACCTTATGGGTTAATCACGGGAGAAATGAAACCTAAAGGAGTTCACCCTGACCAAAAAACCAAAACCAAAAAAACACAACACGGAATGAGAGCCCATCAAGTGGACGATGGATGGTCTTCCATCAGATCCTTGCAATCATGCCAGCCCCCAGTTTCTCCTTGTCTGGATTCAGAATTCTATGATTTTATGACAAGCAGTGTTCAAAATTCCCATTGTTCTAGGTACATTTTATGACAGGGAATTTCATTAGTGCGAACAGTTTCTGAGCTCGGGGTGCAATACTGCGCCTAAGATTTCAGATTAAAACTGCAGAATGGAAGGAAAGGACAACCTTTTTCTGCCTCCCCACTTCCAGATACTCTCTGAAGACTGGAGAAGAGACCCTCTTAAGAATATTAGGCGGGTGGGCAGGGGAAGGACTAGACCATGTGAAAAATGAACACAATATTTTAGCTGCAGTTCATTCATTTTCAGCTTTGTATTCTTGTTATAAAAAAAGTGTGCCCAGACATTCTGTTGTTGCGCCCATAACCTAGTTTTAAGCTGCCATTTTGCTCCTAGCTTTCATATATTAGTTTCTAACACTGATGATAAGGTCATACCTTCCAGACTTCTGTAGCAGAGAAAACTTCAACTTTGATTTCACTAACAGACTGAGTAAACAAACAGTGTGGAGGTGCTTTTGGTGATTGGTTACTTGTTCCAGGGAGCTGGTCTTAACCCATTTTGGGATCACATGCCCTCTAAAGAATCAGTTTTGCAATCTGGGGGTGCTTCTTGATCTGTCTCCACAGATTTGCCTTAGTGGCAAAAATGCCTTTTACCAGTTTTGACTCCTGTCTAGATAGAAAAGCCTGGCTATGGCTATCATGCTCTGGTATAGTCCAAGTTAGATGTTTTGTACATGGCATTGCCCTCAAACACTGACTGGAAACTGGACGCGTGGAAGCTAATTCAGAATACAGGCATCAGGCTACTAACTGGGATTTGGCATTGGGAAAACTGAGTTTCATTTCTGAGCACAATTCAAAGGGCTGGTGCCTACTTCGAAAGCAGGGGTGAGGACACTCAGTCCTGGGGCCCAAATGTGGCCCTCTAGGTTTCTCTGTCTAGCCCTTTGGTCTTGCTTCACATTCTCCTTTATTGTTTTTGCCTGCCTAGGCAGTGTTCTTGAACTCTGCTATTGACTATTGTTTGCCAGGGTGGGGCCTCTGGCTGTCCACATCCATTTCTGGCACACAGCCCCCAGAAGGGTGCAAATGAGGCAATGCAGCCCAAATGTTTCACCACCCGTTTAATAAATGCATAAATGTGAAGATGTTCTTCTGATAACATCAAAGGGATAGATAAATGATTAATAATATTGACCCCCAGACTTTGTGATTTGTGAAAAAAGTACCCAGCATAGGATAGGAAGCTAGCTTATACTGAGTAAAACCATTAGTTTATCCAGATACAGTGGTACCTCTGGTT